ATCATCTGAGGGCCGTTGCCATTGCGGAACGTGAAGATGACCGTGTGATCGCTCTTCAATCGGGCGAGATAGTCCGACTGTACTACCACGGCCTTGGCCACGCGGTGAAGAAGTGCACGATCGTCCAAAGAAGTCCCGGAGCGTCCTCGGTTGTCCTCCTTGCTGCGGCTTTCTTGCGGGGCCGCGTTGACTGCGTGGCTGCTGTTGTTGTGTGCGAGTACCGCCCTGGCGCCCCCCCTTCCCGGCCGGGTGGGGGTACTTGGGCGGTTGCTCGGGCTGCTCTGGCATCAACTGCAGGGGGCGCTTGCCCAAAAGATCTCCAAAGACTCCCTTCTCCTCCTGGTCCAGTTCCATCTCCAGCTGACCGTTCGTCATCACCTATAAGTCCTTGGGTGGTTGGCCGGGGGCCGTGCCGGCAGGCAACTCAGACGAGCAAAGTGCAGCCTTGAGCAAACAGCACATACGAGCTTGCCACAGGACAGGACATGTGCCAGAGTGCAGGTCAGTACGCTTCATAGCATAGCCACAGAAGGTGCATGGGGAAATCAGGTGACCTATTTTCTTGCAGTCAGCGGCTGCCTTTTCACTACACCGATCATAGGCCTCAGGGTGTACCTGCTTGTAATGAAGCTTGATGCTGCGCACAGACACCAGCCACTGGCCACAGACTGCACAGAACTGACGAAGAACTGCCTGAGTGCCCGGCATCCGTGCGAACTCCAGCCACCGCCTAAGTGGTACCGGAGGCATGCATGAAAGCAGCGGACGAGGTGAAGACGAGCTGATGATCGACGTGGATTGCGCGGATGGCATGGCAGGGGGGGGGTATATGCAGCTCAGTGTGCGATTCCGTGGCGTGCAGTGTTTCACCCTCCGATGAGGGCGGGTTTTCGGCTGAGGTAGGGGGAAGAGAGGGCTGCGCATCAAGGGTTGAAGTGTTCTCAGGTGGTGCCTCAGCATCGGGCAGATTTGAGAGAGAAGGTGCGGAGACGGAGGCACAGGCTTTTTGACGCTGCCGAAGACAGTGTCCTTTCTGAATGTGCCTCTTCAGGTTGAACCAGGTAACGTAGTCCCGCCCACAGTGCATACACACCGGCATACCGTCAACACTGTGGCTGCGAACTGCGGCAGCATCGACCGAGGTGTTGGGATTGGGCAGCGCGGTTTCATGATATTTGTGGTGGTGCCGTTTGAGCGTGGCAAGGTCGGGGAAGGAGAGCTGGCACGTAGGGCAGGTGAGGGTAGCGTACCTGGGGCCGTGTTGTCCAGCAACCTTTTCCCCCTTCGGCGCCCCAGTAAGGGGGCCGGGAAGAGAGGCAATGCGCACAGAGTCCTCCACGGCTTGCTCAATGTTTGAGTCCAAGATCGTCGTGAGGGTCAAGGGAGGAACCGAGTCGAGGTGGGAGGTGAGGGCAAGCCTAGATTCAGTGACTCTGGCGAGCCATTGCAGGATGTTGGGCTGGGTGACCATAGGATCGCAAGAGGCCTGGGCCTTGGTCAGCAGTCGCTGGCAGCCTCGAAGCAGGAATGACAAGGGATCTTCTATTCCTAAACGGGCAAGGAGAGCGCTATTGGACTCCTGGGTCATGTGAGCGAAGCTCCTGGCAATGGCCCGTAAGTGTTTTTAACAACAGTAATGGTGATGCGGGTCAGGTGCTTTTGCTGGAGGTCCAGCAGGTGGAGACCATAGAAAGCGGAGCTACGGACGCATGCCACCCAGAGCTGCACGCGCTTGCCCAAGGGAAGCGTCCGGGAGTGAAGTACCTTGAGTAGACGCGCACGCTGTGCTTCCGCGACTTGAAGGCGATGATCCACCGTGGCCGTAGTCGCGTCCTTGTAGGAAAGAATGACGCCAAGGTACGTGAGCTGCTCGACAATGGGTAACCGGAGGTTCTTCTGGTTTGGCTGGGAAATGAGCAGGAAGCGGCCCTCCGAGTTGGAGGCCGTGTGTGCTTTCCACCATTTCTGTGCCTGGCGACCCTTGTGCGCAACGAGCAGCTGAGTTTTGCGATGCTGTACCTGAAGGCCAAGTTTAGCAAGGATACGAAAACAGGCCGCAATGGTCGCAAGCATCCTCCGAAGTTCAGGGACACTGGTGAATTCCCATTGAAGCAGCAAGTCGTCTGCAAACATCGTGGTGTCCCGCTGGACCCAGGCCAAGGAGGTTTCCGGCACTTGCAGGGTCCACAGACTCGGCGCCAGGGGGGACCCCTGTCGCACTCCTCTTTCACTGGCGACCCTGGAGTGGGGGTCCTGGCCGGTTGGCCAGTACCCGATGTTATGATGCAGGTTCATGATGATGGTGAGCTCCGGCTCCGCAACGCGGGCCGCTTTCAACTCCTGCTCAAGAATGCGCCTGTCGACAGTGTCGAACGCCTTGCTCGTGTCAATAGAGAGCGTCACCCCCCCTTGACAACCGGTTGGTCTCCGGCCTGTGTCGCGGCGTTCTCGTAGAGTCAGGCGCTCAGCGGCTAAAGCATGTTGTACGCGGTCACAGTGGCTCAGCGCCCTTACGATAGCGTGTTCTATGCTCCTGCCAGGAATATAGGCGTATTGTGGCCACGGTAACGTCGCCTCGGTGAGGGACGGGCGAAGTCTGGCGGTGTAGGCTTTGACGACGATGCGACCACCTCCCTCGGTGAGGGAAATGGGTCGCAAGTTCTCGGGCTGGTCTGGGGTTTTACCGGGTTTTGGGAGCCATGCCAGCCAGGCGTCCGCCCACAGCCTATGAAACGCACTCGGCTCCTCCCAGAGGGCCGTACATAGTGCCGCCAGGCTCGAAATGACAAGATCCTGACCGAGATGCCAAAGCAGTAGCTGGGCGAGGTGCTTGGGGGTGGCCTTGCTCCTTTCAGCTCCGGCTCCGTGAGTGGGCCGTAGGTCACTGAAGGAGGTCCTAGACTGACCGGTGCTGAGGCATGATCAGCAGCGTGTACAGCAGTCCCAACCGAGGGGCACGCAGTCGGAGAGGAAACGTCCGGTGCGGGAGCAGGCCGGGGGAGATGAAGCTGTTCAGCTTCTGCTTGTGGGCTGAGAATGGCTCCCTGGGCTCCGCGGAGTTGGACATGGACCTTGGCAGTTTTGGGGGCAAGTCTGCGGATAACCTTCCAGAGGGAAGACTTATCCCTGTGTTGGTCCGCCTCCCAGGCAAGTTGCAGCTGTTCCTCCAGAAGTTCTCTCTTGGCTCGGCGGCCTTGGCGCCGTAAGAGACGATGCTGGCGCAAGTACGCGGCTTGATGCTTCCAGGCAGCAAGGAGCTGCGATGGTGAAAACCATAACCTCTCTCCAGCACGCAGCCAGTGCGTGATCTGTGCAACGGCAGTCATGGGACGCAAGATCTCCACAGCGTACTGCTGCGCAGTGTGGCGCAAAGTCCACATGTGCTTGACCGTCCCCTCCACCCTGTCCACGACACTGGCTCCCTTGGGGGCCGCCATCTGGAGAGCGCGGTCCAGTGTTTCCGGGGTAGGTGAGGAGGGGGGCCCGGACCTCGGATGGCTGAGGTTGTGGGGGCGGTGTTTGGTAGTGCACGGCCGGGAGGGAGACACCCAGAGGGTAATGCCTGGCGCCCCCTCGCCACCTAAGCAGGTGGAAGAGGGGGTCCGGTGCAGCGCGGCGCGAAAGACCGTCCACCTGTGCAATGCGGCCAAAAAGAAAATCGATCTGACTGCGGAGCTTGTCGTTTTCGAAAGTGTATGCTTTCGACACCCTGCCCCATGTGTTCAAGGCCGTAAGGCGGTGCGCACTGAGGGTATTCGCCAGCAGCTGCCGGTCTGGGTGAGGGTTTGGACCAAGGTATGCGCCGGGGCCGAAGGTGATCGAGTCACGCGTGCCCATAGAATTGCGAGGTCAAGAGCAACATGTTGCGTATGGGGAGGGAGGACAGGGTTTTGTCGAGGTGATGTAGAACTCGCTCACGTTTGTGCAGAACGGCTGCCCTTTCGGGGCCGGTGTGCAACGCATACTGGTAGACATTGGTCAGATCTACGTGTCGCCCCCCGAGCGGGAGTCGAACGTGCAAAAGATGCCCCACAAGCGGGGTAGACCAGCGAACTGATTCAAAGGGTGCAAGAGTCTTTCTGATGAGCACCATACAGCCCTGAAATCGATGATCGGACGCACCACTATGACGTGATAGCGGGGCAGGCTCCATGAGTTACTGAACCGCCAGTGTGTCTCTTGGAGGAATACAATGTCGTAGGTGGTCTGTTCGTG